TTTATAGTTCCTCGACCCACCTGGTGCCCCAGGTAACTCATCTAGAATACTGTGTCCAGTTTTGGGCCCCACACTACAAGAAGGATGTGGAAAAATTGGAAAGAGTCCAGCGGAGGGCAACAAAAATGATTAGGGGTCTGGAGCACATGACTTATGAGGGGAGGCTGAGGGAACTGGGATTGTTTAGTCTCCAGAAGAGAAGAATGAGGGGGGATTTGATAGCAGCCTTCAACTACCTGAAGGGGGGTTCCAAAGAGGATGGAGCTCGGCTGTTCTCAGTGGTGGCAGATGACCGAACAAGGAGCAATGGTCTCAAGTTGCAGTGGGGGAGGTCCAGGTTGGATATCAGGAAAAACTATTTCACTAGGAGGGTGGTGAAACACTGGAATGCGTTACCTAGGGAGGTGGTGGAGTCTCCTTCCTTGGAGGTTTTTAAGGCCCGGCTTGACAAAGCCCTGGCTGGGATGATTTTAGCTGGGAATTGGTCCTGCTTTGAGCAGGGGGTTGGACTAGATGACCTGTTGAGGTCCCTTCCAACTCTGATATTCTATGATTCTATGATTACAGAAACCCCAGAAAGGAGGAAAACTTTGGCACCTATTAAAATGGGATAGGGTGAAGTGAAAAGCATTTGAGAGACTGACTTTTAACTCTTTCTCAAATATTATTTTTGCCAGCAAATGTCAACAGCTAATAGATGTACAGACCTCCCTGCACCTGTCTTTCATACTGACTTGACTGGATGGCTGCTCTAAGACAAGCCAGTCACATAAACATAAAGTGAACAGTGAAGGAATTTTTTTTCACAAAAACAAATTCTCTCTATCTGGAGTATAACTGGAATTGCATTTTGCCCATTGAAATAAGCTGGGACTTTCATTTTATATCGCTATGCACTAGGGATGCGTACATTGTACCATTTTGTCAGATAGAGATATTAATGACCATACCCATGCTTATAATGGTGGTCATCACATGGTGGTGAGCATAAGTGCCTGAGGCCCAGCCTGTTTTTCAGCAGTCAGACTGTAGGAAAAGAACTCTGAAAAAATTGCCAGAATTGTGGATGATTTAGTTTTGGTTCATGCATTCGTTATATGCATATTACATGCATAATTAATTATATCAGAGTTTACTCCACCAGCAGCGGTCTGCCAAATATCATTTGATGAAAGCTCTCATGGCAAACAGCCTTAACCATGGTAATTTGGCTGTGCTACTAGTAATATATTTGTGCTTCTATTAGCACCATCACAAGACAATCAGTGAGTCTGTCAGAAGCATGTCAATGGTACACACTATATGAATCACAACCTACTTAAATATAAGATAACTAGACATAAGTGAAATATAAACTAACCAAAAACTATAAATATAATCCTAGTAAAACATAAAAACCTCTCAATAAACCCAATGGAAAAAAAGTTCCAATGTTTAATAGATCTAACAGGAACTAGGAAAACTAGTTTAAATATTCCAGTGTTACAGCTGGGGCAGCCAAACCGCTGTCATTTGCACACCTTTATTTTGGCCCCAAATCTGAAATTGAATTTATTAATCATTGAAGTGAAATGGAAGCTTGGCAGAACTTCGGGTTTTTTTCCAGCCCTCTGTAATGATATGGGATTCTAGATAATACAGTTTCCCTTAATACACCTTCCAGGATGCTAAAGAAAGGATTTTTATTTAGAAGCTCTGGCCAGTCTGGAGTAAGGATGTTTCAAGAACTCTGATCACCAGGCCCTGTTTTCAGGAATTTAAGAATCCATTTTAAACATAGAACTTTGGCCTACAGGGTCTTGAATGTTTGTTTTTGACAGTCTGAATTGTTGGGGTGGAGAGAGAATTCTCCTCATCTGTGGTTCTCTTGTGCTCTGTCCCCGTTGGCCTTCAATTGGAAGAGGAATAAAGACTCCAGGTAGTCTGCTCCACACCAGCTCCCTGCATGCCTCTTCCTGTTCCCCTCAGGAGGACACCCTTCATCATTCACACATACACCTACCTTTCTTGAGCAGCGTACTTGGGAGGAAGGGGGAGTGTATCACAGTGTGCTGCAGATTAGCATTCTGTGTGGTTTGATAGAATTATTAGTCTATGCCTTTAAAAATTATATGATGGCCATATTAGGTCTGTGTGCTCTGTGGAAAATGAAAGTACTATGTTGCAGACCTTCATCTTGAGTGTCGGGGGTCAGTTTTGTGCCGTCAGAGTGAATCTGTCTCTGACTGTTTTATCTGGAAAGGAGTAAGAAAATATGACAGAAATGCATGCAGAGTGATGAATAGCATGGAATGCCATGTGAGATCACTCCGCACAAGTGTGAGGGAACATCTAATGAATTCAAAGAAGGCATCAAGTTTAAGACAGAAAAAAGAAAACACATCTAGTCTATGTATTCAACTTGCGAATATCATTGCCACATTATATTAATTGAGGCAAATATATAGATATGTTTTTGTGAGTATAAATAGTGAGGGATAAAATTACAGAAACATGTTAGAATATTTCCCTCCATGCTAGAATAATGTACAAATACAATCGACGAATTAATATACACCTGTACCTGGATATAACGCTGTCCTCGGGAGCCAAAAAATCTTACCGTGTTATAGGTGAAAACGCGTTATATTGAACTTGCTTTGATCCACCGGAGTGCGCAGCCCCCCCCCCCCCCGGACGCACTGCTTTACCACATTATATCTGAATTTGTGTTGTATCGGGTCACGTTATATCGAGGTAGAGGTGTATGTGTGGTGTTGGCATCTATGAGAGAGAATACTAGACTGCTAGCAATTTCTAGGAGAAGGCTCTCCATGGAAAGATATTATGGATGTTTAGGTCTATAGGATACAATTAGCTCACCAGGAAACAATGTTAGTTTGAGTGCTGTAGAAGAAGCAGAAAAGCGGAAATCAGAGGAGGGAATGACCATTGTTCAGGGGCAGGGCCTGGATCTCCAAGGCACAGACAGACTTCAGTGACTTGCCCAAGATCACACAGGAAATCTGTGGTAAAGCAGGGATTCAACCTAGATCTTCCATGGCTTAAGCTAGGGTTCTAATCACTGGACCATACTTCTTATTGATATTTGATCTGTATTTGTCACAGTATTTCTAATTAGAAGAATCAAGACTGGGATTTTCAGAGGCACTGCAGGCAATGAGAGTTGGCCACCTGACTCCCGTAAACTCCAGGTTGTTATTTTTTTATTCATATTTATAAGTATCTTAGAGATTGTAGTCTCAGATCTTCTGTACAAAACTAGAAAAACTATAGGAAAGCTTCCTAGACTATAAAGTGATCATGGAAAATAACCCTTTTACTTATTCATTTATTGTTTGGCTTAACATGAGACACTTTGTGATGGACCAGTTTCAAAACTTTAGTAATGCTAAAGGAGAGGAAAACTCAGTGTATTCTCACATATCAGTGTGTGTGGAGGCAAGTGGATTGTTTTACAACCTGTCACCCCTTTTGAACAGCATGGGTCTCCACATGGTTTTGGCACTATTCCCAAAAGTATTGCACCAGGAAAGTGGAATTTTCACCTTCTGGAATGCTGATTGGTTGATGCTGGAAGATGTCATTACCTTCTGGAGGCAACACTTCTGGGAATGATATCATGCAGTATGATTGTTGGGAAGGCACAGGAATTAGAAGGTATTTTTCTCTCATTTGTTGATACTAGATAATTAAATTCTCTTCCCATCACATCTGTTTAATATCCAACTCCTGTGGAAGATTTATATTTTCTTGAAATGGAAGAGTTAAAGGAGGAAAAAGTTTTAGAGTACTGTAAACGGCATGTTTTGCTGGCAAACAGGAGCAAACTTGCTAGGATTTCTTCATTAGAGTCTTGCCATTTAAGCCATCAGCGGTATTTTGTGAAGACATCAAACATGTGTATACCAGATGCCAGCAAGCAGAGCAGCACTAAGGACCTGACTCAATTTAACAATAATCTGTGGACAGCGGGTGTGAACCTGAGCTGGGCCAACACCTCATCAGACTGCATGGCTAATTGATTTCAAAATTAGACTTGGTATTTCTGAACAATAATCTTAAAAGGCAGCAATAAAATACATCAAAATCCTTTGAGCTAGCCAAGCTTTCATCCAAATGGCTTATTACAAAGAGCTGGCACACCTGAACTTTGGCATAGACAAATAAATCCCAAAACAGCAAATGGAAACCACATTTGGCACTGGAGGTTTGTCAAAAGAAGTTTGTAGTCATCAGGAAACAAGATTTTGGATTTTTTTCCTCCTTTAGTGGCAGGAAATAATTCACTGAATGTGTTTCACAGTGACTGCTGTGATTTATGCAATAAAAATATATATAATGGTTATTAGGGGGCTTTTTTGTGTATCACACAATCTTTAGGATACCAGAAGCCGAAAAAGCACAACAAGGGTTACAGTTACCGCAACAGTGATAACTTAATCACATGTGTAGGCCTTCCCCCTTTGAACTCTAAATGGCTGCTTTGTGGCATCAGGGTCCAAAAGGATTTAGATCTGACTTTTGTGTGGCTACAATAAATTATACCCAACTATCTGAGAAATGCTTGGAATCTTATCTCAAAGAGAGGATGGGGGCAAACTGAGATTACAGTTTCTCATTTAAGGGATGACATAAATTCCCAGTACAAATCTTTCCTGGAGTTAACATTTCAGAACAGGTACATTTGTTTTTCCTCTTTCTATATTATTACCGAAGAGGTTCTTTTCTATAGTGATTTAAGGTAGCAGAGATGTGGGAGCAGACAAACCAACTCATTAAATGATTATTAGTTTATCAGTGCAATAATGATTGAAAAAGTGGCTTTTTCACTTACTAATATGATTGAAGAAGGGACAGAACAAATCTCTGATAGCAGTAGCTGATACATGGGGTATCTTAAAACTGCTTGGATAGTCTAGGGAAATTTGTTATTTTAAGTTATGTTTAAACTGATTTAAAAAAATCTGAGATGGGTAAGAAGCAACTGAGGCTTACAACAATTAAATGGTATAGGTGGTTCTTAATTATTGCCATTGTGTTTAAAATGCAAATAAATGCAGTTTTACCATGCTGACAATTGGATGCCTGTGGGCATCGAATCCAAGAGAGTTTTGTGGAGCAAGGTGCTGGGCTTTTGAATTCTTAATTTGGTGGTTCTAAATTACATTAATATTTGTAAGCTCTCTCTTAAGATCACACCAAACATCAGAGAGTTAACTGCATCTGAACTGCAAGCGTACATTTTTGAACTGTCTGCATTTTCTGTATTCACACAGATTGTCTGTCTGATTTTTAATTTTAAGACATTGACAGATTCCAATATTATTTACAATGATGACAGTCCAGATTTAGTCTGGTTTTACACTGATTTAAGTGAAATCAGAATTTATAGTCTGACATTGCAACTAATTAGTTAAAACAGAGGCCTGATTCGGTTACACCAGTTAAAAACAGATATAACTCTATTGACTTAATAGAGCTATTCTGAATTTGCACTGCTGTGAGAGGACAATCAGACCCTGAAGATGCATCTTTCCTTCCTTGCAAAGTTTCTGGACTGTAGTCTTAATTACCTTACCATTGTTCCTGTATTGTTTGATCCTACCAATACGTAATTTTGGTTCCAATCGACTAGATGTTTTAGAGCCCTTTCTATTAGTGTACTATATTCCAGCCCAGGTTAATTTTAAGATGTTGGTGTTCTCTAACACATTTCCCCTGAACTCTATAAGTAAGTGAGTAATAAATACCAGTAATATTCATATTTTGGGGTAATTTTAATGATCCTTTAATTATTTGCAAAGTCGGCTCTTTAGTGCCCCAATCTACTATGAGAGACAATTTGTGATTTTCTTCCTGAAATACTTTTCTTTGTACTAAGTGCAACATTCTCCTACCCCCATCTTAACATCTAATTATGTACATATTAATGTTCATCTTCTTGAATGTCTTCAAAATCAAATATAAAGAAACCTAAATGAATAACAGATGTTCAAATAAGGATAGTATGGGCCAAATTCTGACCTTCGTTACATCTATGAAACCCCGCTGACTTCAGCAGGGGTTGCGTAGGTGTAAATGAGGGTAGATTTGACTCTAAATTGTTTCACTGCTCATGACACTTTCATCTGCTCATATAGTACAAATTCTATGGAAAAATCCCAGCTGCTGTGGGAGAACGACAGTTCCAAAAGTTGTCTTGAATCTCTTGTTCTCTCATATGGACTCTTCAAGTTTCCCTCCTAATTTTATATGGTTTCTACGTTTATGTATATGCAAAACAAAGAAACACATCAAAGTAGCACAATCAGCATAACAAAACACAATATACAAAGTCTTGAGCCAGCCGGTATTCTTACATGGTTTAGATTAGAGTCCAGAGTGTACTAAGACTAGACCACCACAGGAGAAAGGGCTATGCGACACTGTGAATGTTCCCATGCACCGTATTACAGAAACACCTGTGGCAAATTAATCTGTGAAAATTCACTGTGAAAATTCACCAGGGTTAATGACTTTTTCTTACCTCTGAAAGGGGGGTGGTCTTGTTATAGGGACGCTGTAAAAAACATATAGGGACACAGATTTCATTGTTTTGGTTTTTAATGTTCAAGGTCAAAAATAAAAAAAATTAGAAAAATAGAAGAGACACAATGTAGAGCAAATATAAAAATACAGCAAATGTGTACATTCTTTTGCTTGTAATCCTGTTTGCTGCATTCAAAGGCGGGAGGTATATGTTTACCATATTAGGGCTCAAGAGAATATACATAGATCATATAAAAAGAAGCAGTTAACTTGATATGATCTCTCGGCTATTCACTGAGGGATTATTTTGTTCTAGAAAAGGGAATCAGGCCACATAAAATCACTAATATGCATTTTTCCCCACTTATCTGGGAGCCATTAACCTATGTGTACCTAGAACCTTCTATACTTCTGTAGCATCAGAGGGCTACTTTTTTTGCTTGGTCTTTGGTCAGTGTATAGCTTGCTACAATGAGGAGAAATTAAATTAGTCTGGAATTCATTATTAAGTAGGCATCATCCTCTAGGAGTTATAATGGTACCCAACAAATTGAGAAGTAATATGGACTCACTGATTTTGAAAATTAAAACCCTAATCTACCAAAAAATTTGAACATGTCCATTAACTTCAGTGTGACTACTCACACACTCAAGAATGGGCTGCCAAAATGTTGCCAAATTTCCCAGCTCTAATACTGTAGTTAAATTAGCTTTGCATTAGTTTTAAATGTTTTCATGCATTAGTCTTTCCTACCAATGCCACAAACAAAACTGCAGTTGTCTTCTAGGTGGAGATGAACAAACTGACTGCTTTTAGAGTGAAGCCAGGAATTCAAAGAGATAACATGACAGAAGTCAGAAAGTGATTATCTCAAGTTTTTACAGACTATTTGTATGTTGTTAGTTCCTTACATGCAAGTTCTGGAGGCTAGGATTATTAGACTATCAGTTAATCTAACTACCTGATTTGGTGCCTAAATTGGTGGAAGATAATTGTTCAAAATGTGCAATATTCAGAACTTTTCTGAAACAGGCCTACTTCCACCAGCAACAGAACTTTGCTGTTTTGCTAATATGTCTGATGTATATGGATAAAGGAAAAAGCCTTGGCAATAAAGGTTGGTTTGTAGTAATTATCATCCCTTATGTTCACTTCTTGTGTGCACGCACTTACTCTGTGTGTCTGTTGCATCCTACATCTTTTTTTAATGTAAGATTTGTATTTATTTTTTGTTTCAGATTTTAATTTAGGTGCTCATCAGGATATCAATCCAAAAAGTAGAAAAAGAAGAGAGAGAATTCCAGTAAAACCAACTCCTCATATAAAATCCAAATTAAATCTGAAGGGGCAGGAAAAAAGTGTAAGTAGTGTATATTTAGATACAATAAATAAACAAGATTTGAAGAAACTGCATAGTTAAATCTCAGTACAACTTGACCAAACAAAACCCCTTGGTTTTAATTTTGTTTTTGCATTTTTTAGTAATATGGAGATTTCACCTTCTATTTTAGCTCATAATGTAGCAATATTACTAGTATGGTATTGAATAAAAGGAATACTAAAGGACAAATCCTGCCTTGGTGTACTGGTCTCTTAAAGGCATTACTAACCATATGAGTCTGGTGCATGGATGTAGAGAATATTTGGGAGTCTGTACCAAGGAGGTGCACCTCTACATTCAGTGCTTATCTCTGTGGGCTTTTTGTGCAGTGGTTGAAGTAGTGAAGGGCTAAGATGGTGGTTGAGTGATTCAAAGAGTGAGAGTCATTGTCCTTCACACAGTGAGAGTGCAGGGCTGACAGCCACAGCCTCTTGGGGAGTGCGTTGGTTTCTAGGATTTGGCCCTTTATAAAATACTATAGAAAAGGGATTAAGGTGACATGACAGTGGTTATGAAGAGAATAATTCATAATATATAATATTTTAAATCACTGTAGAGATCGTGATATATAAGCACAAAGTAGGAACAGAGCATTATACAGGGCTCTTTGTCCAGATGTTGCTATTTTAAATCACATGGGCAGTTTCATAATACATAAACCACATCACTTAAAGGCAAAAGTGATAGAATGAGTAAATCCTTTTGGTACTGTCCTCCACTGCATCTGCTTGGCTCTTCATGTCTACTAGCATCCCATCAACACTAAGCTGAGACAAGGACATCATTGTGGAAAGTTAAGACAGCATAGCTGTAAGTCACAAATGAGAGCTACGCTATGCCCAAAAGATCCAAAAGGAGTACAGACAGCTGTGGGTCTAGAGTGCTGGATATGCCTTAGTGAAGGACAGTATAGTCAGCGGCCCAGCAGATGTGTTTTTCATGGGCAAAGATCCTCAGCTGGAGCAAGCTGGTAAGTAGAATTCAACCTATTAAAAATTAATTGCTTGAGTGCTTTCAAACATTCCTGGCACTTGGTAAAAGGTAAAGAGACTTCAGTGGACTGATGCTAACGCACATCTGAAGAGGACGATCATAGTGGTGATGAAGCTGAACAAAGAAAAGATGGTGTAGTTTGAAAGTACAGTGACAAAATAAGTTATACCAATAAGAACATTAAGATGTCTGATGTGCATCAACAATGTCAAGATTAACCAATGTGATTAGGCTGGCTAATTCTAAACCTATTATTTTCAGATTTGACTTAAATGCTCTCGTTATCACTTTATCTCTTTCACTGTGCAAATCAATCTATGACATATAGTCTCATTTTTTTTCAACATTATCAAACCAAGGCACAAATCCAATTAAGCAGTTGATGCCAAAACCTGCGCTCCTGGCGAAATGCATCATGCAGCACGTCAAGGTAAGTGAATTAAAAAAGCATCTGAGCAGGTATCTGGTGTGTGTCACAGTTCATTCTTCCATAATAAACTATGTTCTCCCTCTCATTCATTTGTCAATCATAGTAACTAAAGATTATTATTTGCTGTATGTACGTGACACCAGCAATTTGCAATGTCTGTTGGCAAGAAAATCAGGTTAGAATGACAGAGTGAGAAATTAAGCAGAAGTCTGATGTAATTAGCTACAACAATCAGTGCTCTAATTTCTGATTTATTGTTTCCTGTTTTCCTGCTGCACTCAGCCCATGCATACTGTATGCGCTTCATATAGGTCAAACAATTGCCTTATCAGTCCTGGCAAACCAAGAGGTCAGAGTTAACAGTATTTATTTAAACATGCAGGATGCTTCCCGCTGCAATTAGGAAATAACTATTACTAATAGGCCTTTGGTACTATTTCCTCATTTATACAATTTTGTAAAGACTAGAGGAACAGAAGCAATAGGGAATTTAGATTTCAGACTCTTCTTTTTAAAATATCTCTTGAAGATGGATTTACTTGACTTGTAGCATTTTGTTTTGTCAAAATGTCCGGATTAGAATTTGGCATTTCTTAAAAACAATGAGCCAAGTCTTGGTCTCATTGAAATCAATGAGAGTTTTGCCCCTGACTTCAGTGGGATTAGGATTTGGCTCTATGTATCTGTTTTGGCTGCCATTTTCACATTATACAGAGTTCACGGTTTTTGGATGAGAGATTCCTCTTTGTAATCGAAGACTATTCATAAATTACTATTATACAATTGTTATAGATCCAGTATGAATGTAAGTGAAGGTTCACTTCAATTTGCTATCTTTATAGCATATTAGATTGAAAGTTTTACAACAAATATATTTGAGCATTTATCTTATTAGATTACATCTACGTTATTTAAAAAAGTGATTATTAGGGGAGCATCACATGCTCAGAACAATTGGGAAAGTCCCATCCAACCTGGAAAATTCTGTATATTCTAAAGAGCCAACTAGAGTAACTCCAGTGAAATACTGGATATGAGGAACAATTGTGGGTTGAGAGTGTAAAAGATAGCCATTGACATCCATGGATTGAACTCCTGCTATGTAATTGGATCTAACCTTTTATAACCCTGATTCACAACATGTTATAACTGTGACCAGCACTACTGGATGTCACATCTTTACTACAGAAGGGCACTGAGCCAGGTGGTGGCAGGTTAAAGGAGTGATGGGTAGGAAAAAAGAACATGGGATTAATGGATGATGAGGGGGAAAAGAGTATGGAATGGATGGATTTTTTTTTAAGAGGTGTAGGTGGAAGTGTATTTTACCTAGGGAATGTCATGTGTATCACTAAGGCAGAACATTTTTGAGAGAATGTATGTTAAACATTTGGCAGCACATCACTGATCCTAGTTAACACAGAATGTCTCTTGAAAGTCAGCCTTTAGTTAAGGGGGAGCCATTTGGTGTGAGCGTTACTGTGGAAGGAAGATACTGAGATTTTACATTATTAGCCTATTTGCAATGGAGTTATTTAACCAGATTTTAACTGTTTTCTATTTTCAGCATTTCTACCTCCTTGTTAGTTTAAATGAAGCTGTGGGTGGATAACCAATCTTCTGTGTTTTTATTGGTCTCGTCTGTGTGTTTATTGGCTCCTTGGATTGTAAGCATTGATCCCATTAGAATAAATTACTCTGGATTTCCCTATAAAGTTTCCTCGGTGGATTAAACCCTGTGCTCACAGTATGAAATCTGTTTCCCCAGGGGGAGAAACCTCCCACTCTGTTCAGACTTCCCAAGTAGTCCTTTACCTGTTCTCTCAATAGCTATTTTTAAGTTTTTCCTTCTTTCCAAATTCTTCAAACTTATTTATTACTCTTATTTTTCTTGAAGTGCAATGAACACAATGATGCTAGTAAGGGTTACGATGTTGGTCAGGGTGAAATGAAAGTTATCCAACTGTTTTTCTTAATATTTTATAAAATGGACAAACACCTGAACTAAGAGTTTATATGCCAACTTTCAGTCAAGTTATGGCTGCTTTAAACACACTTGCAGCTTACTCCTGTTCCCACTGATATCAGTGGCAAAGCTCCCATTCACTTAAATGTGAGCAGAATCAGGCCCAAAAGATACTGATGTTAATGAGCCTTCCTATAATGAAGTTTGAGGCAGGATAGGGGGTACTAAGAATTCTGAGTTGATTTCTAACAAGATGTGCCTTCTAAAGGGGGAAAGCATATTAAAAAAGCAAGAAAAAACCCAACCTTCTGTAAAGTTCTGTAGGCAAGTGTACAATAGCCACTCAGTAGTTATATCAGAAATTCTTAAGACCTTATTTAGAAAGACAGTGTTTAACTTTAAGAAGGGGTTTAATTCTCACTGAACTCACTGAAATGTACACGCTGACTTAAACGTAAGCACATGCTTAAGTGCTTTCCTAAATCAGAGCCAGAATGAGGAACTATAGTACTGACTACAGCTGTGTTTTAAAGAAAAATTTAAAACTACTCTTCTTTCCAAATACTGGGTCTATTTTCTGCATATTCTATGTATTTCTGGACTCAATAAAAGGAATGAGTGAAATTTTTTTCTAATTGTAGAAGATTGATCAAAGTGACATTTCTATTTTTGCCTGCTGTTGAATTTTAATGTTTAATATATGTAACACTGATTGTCTTGACTTATTGACAGCTGATAATAATTAATAATACTTATTTCTTATGCAGCGCCCTTTGTCCAAATATCTCAAAACACTTTACAGACATTAACGGTCCCAGCCTGTACTCCCTGGACACCAAAGAGTCTCAGTAACTTTAGTAGGAGAGTTTGGGGTGAACAAGGATTGAAGAATTGGAGTTTAATTAATCCTTGCAATGCCTTTATGAGGTACTATATGTAAATATTATTGTACCTGTTTTGGAGATCTGAATACTGAGGTATGGAGAAATCGAGTGACTTTGCAGATATCTGAGAACAAGTTAGTGCCAGAGCCTGGACTGTAACTCAAGATTTCCAGTCCCCTCCTTTCGCTAATAGATAATTAATCTCAGATGAATACCTTTGCCAAATGTTCAGCTGAATGATGTGAATCAGCGTTGCTCCATTTAATTCAGTTTATACCAATTTACACAAGCTGATATAGTTCTAAGGGTAAAATGCACACTGGTGCAAAGAGGATATTAAAAGCATTCTGTACCACTTAAGACTAGGGCTGATCCAAAACTGTTTTTTGATAGCAAATTGGGGTTTTGTAATAGTTGGGGGGTTTTTTGTGTGTGGGGGGAAGATAAATGTCTGTTTTCCTTAGAAATTTTCTAAATTTTTTTTAAATGAATGCCTGAAAACTGAAATATTTTGATTTGGATATGCCTGTGTGGTATCTTATGGGAATTGTAGTTTGGTTCTTTCATGCTTCCAGCCAGACTTGATTTCTCACGATGCACCATCTTCCCTCACCAAGATGAGAAACCATGGTGTGTTATGGGAGAGATAATCTGACCAATAAACTGACCTATAGAGGCTGGTAGCATGAGACAGCCAGACTTCAACTCACATGAGGCACCACCATTGTGGCATTTCTGAATTGAAATATTACAGTTTTCAGTTTAAATATTTTTATTTTTTTTACCAAATAGTCCAAATTTTCCACAGGGAGAAATATATTTTCTAATGGACATAAAACCTATGGTGAGATTTCCATACAGTCTAATGTGGAATATGAGAATCAGGGTGGCCATGAAGGAGTGATTTTGGATTAACAACAGATCCAGTACCCTTAATATCCCATGCAGGTAGGCAATTCAGCAGTCCATCCCTGTAGAGCAAAGCAAAGTTCCATAAGCACACGATTAAGAATAGGAAATATCTTTCACCCAGGTGGAATCTTTCAAAACAAAATACTGCTATCATTGTCACTATTGTTAGTTGTTACAATTCTTAAGTGGATAAATAACAGATAGAAATGACATTTGTATCCTAACATTCAAACAAACATATTCAGCCATTATTACCTTTACTAATCTGAACCAGAAATTGCAAGTAAACATTTAAGTCCCAATTCATCACCACATGTGCTTAAATACTGTTGCTTTCAGTGGCAGTTAAGCATACGTGTAAAGTGCTTTGCTGAATTGGAGCTTTAAATAACTAGGAATTATAATAATTTATCTAAAAAGAAATAAGTGGATATTAAATCAAAATTAATAATTCTACATTTACATTTATGGCCACTTGTTGAAAATGTAAATCTAATATCACTTTCAATATAACATTTAAATTAATATAAAAGCTATTAATTATTACACTAACATTAGACAGCCATTTATAGTTACATGACACTTCCGAATATCAGTATTATAATCTTTGTGTTAGAAGTGCAAATATCCTAATATTTATGCCCCAAAAGTTATGAACTCTTTGGTAGCCCACCTTTGAAGAGGGAAACTCTTGCTCACTTGCTGCAAAATATTATTGCTAATTTGTTTGCCAGTGAATATGGAGTAGAAAATAGAATTTCAGCCCAGCCCTCTTGGTTTTATAATTTAATACCAATATTACTTACATTATTAGTTTTACTGGTAAATCAAGGAGTAAGTTGCCAGAGTCCAGCTGTGACCTCAGGGCAGGAACTTTCTGCCTGCTGTCACCTTCTGACAGTTTAGGCTGTTAATTACCTCAATCAACTGGAATACAAGCACCTCTCTGTCTGCCAGCTGGCAGGCTCAGCCTCAGAAACTGGCAGCCTGAGAAGATTTAAAACCTGTAACAAAGGACTGCTATGTAAACAGTTTATTGTATAATACACAATGGCAACAGTAGACCCACATGAGTAATCAAAGGTAGGTTCTGCTATCGTGATTTGTTATGTTAGAAAAGATGTAAGTCCTTGTTTGGGTCTCATTCAGCCAGTAGAATGAAACCTGAGATGCTGAGGTGAAACTCAGTAGCAGCTGACGGATCTTAGACCCTTGTAATACTGGTCCCTAAATCCCAAGTATTTGAATTGTGAGGGTATGAGAGAAATACACTGATTTACTTAACAGATGAAAATAATAAGACAATACTTTAATTAGCTAGTGAGACAGTGGCTGCCAACCAAAATTGAAGTGCAAAATCATCTTTTGAAAAAGAATACCAGATCCCATGAGCATGAAGTGTAAAAGCTAGACAGTACCCACTGAGTTCTATAAGAGGCACAAACCTCCCACAATGCTCCCTTGCTGCAGTACATTATGGGAAACTTCTGTATTTGCATGTCAGAGAGAGATGTCAACAAAAATTTAGCCATGTCACTTGTAACTGGTTACAATGAGTATGTCTCTAACCAATTACAAAATCACAGTTGTAGCTGTAATGTAGATTGTCCCCACAGTCATCAAGTCTATCACCTTGTAAATCTAAGATGCATCATTTGAAAAGGGAAACCATAGGATTAAAAGAAAATCCTAAAAAAAAACCCTTTCAGAAGAAATTCTGTTCTGACATTTTGGCCTGCATTTTCAGGTGTGTGCAAATTCCCTAATGTACACATCCAAGCTGGGAAAGCACTTATGTATCTAGGTATGTGCATACATAACCTGTAGTCTATACATCAGCAGTGCTGGATTTGTGTATCTAATTTGGGTGTGCATCTACTCAGTCACATCCCTGTTTGAAAATGTTTGCTATTATAAGTAGGCAAATTTGCATTGTTTGATCATTACAGTAGCTCTGCTGACCAGCAGTTGTAAATTATACCCTCATGGGGCCTTGAAGTTACGTATTCAAGAAAACTGATGAGAATTTTAGAATTGTAACCACTGTATATGGGAGCAGTCAACTTTAAACCACAAAGTAGGAAATAAGTGAAAATGTGACTTGTAGAAACAACAGTTGTAGTGGCTAATATTTCTGAGTGTCAACTGTGAAATATCATGTTTTATTTTCTCATTAGATTTTTAATGAGTTAAAACTGTCCATTCAAAAACTGGCATAATAGTTAACATTGCCTGGTTGGATATGAACTTTCAGGAAAAGCAACTACACCCATGTTCCTGCCAAGATGTCAAAATACTGTTAATTAAATCACCCCAAAAGAATGCTAGGTTTTTGTCGTTTACAACAACTCTTGGAAAGAAAAGGTTCAGCCTGCAGGAAAAGAAATGTGTATCAAACTATTCCATATAGAGAATAGGTGAGTATGAACCACAAAATTTAGATCCAGTTGTAAACTTCTCCAAATGCTAGGGGTGTAGTCCAGCCCTGTCTTTAATACAGAGTCTATATTTGCCTTCATTTTGGACCCAAATTCAAATAGCAGTCAGAGATGAGTCTGAATTGGAATACTGGATCTGAACCCCTTTGATCACAGGGGAAGTTTGAATCGAGAGAAAATATTGCAGCCGAAGACCCATCTCTATTATGAGCATGACAAAAATGAGTAACAGCAGCCTGAGAACACCCCTCTTCACCTACTGAGCAAAAGTCTACATAAGGGCCAAGCTATCCTGGAGTTCCAAGATAGGGACTCCCAAATTATTAAAATAAAATGAACCTGTAAACCACTTCGGATTATGAAAATCTTCTTGAGCCCCATCCTGGAACTCCCAACATTCTCTAATGGCTGGGCTGTCAGAGCCTTGAGCTAAATGAGGCTCTGTCTTGCACTTTTTATTCAGGTCAAACTCCCATTGAAGTAAATGGACCAAATTCTGCTCTGTTACAATGGTGTTATTCAGGATTTAAACTAGTGTAATCAAAAGCAGAATTTGGTCTATTGACTTCCGTGTCTACAGGTCTAAAACTGGAATTTTCACATACATATAGCGTATTTTTTAGGCTTAAGAGAACATTTTCCATGCTGTTATCTAATTTGCACATGCAAATGGTTGTTCATAAATTCTTTGTTTCCAATTCTGAAGGCTGTCTTAAAAATTTGACCCCAAAATGAAATAAACTTCTTACAGGCGAGGATATGTCCTTACCCCTTCCTTAACCAGCACAGGGTAAATCTCTTAGGGATTCTCCTCTGTGAAGACTTTGGCAATCATCTTGACAGTTGCCTTTTCTGCAGAAATACTGGGCTCTGTTTAACTATTTCACTGCTGGTCCTCCACTCTAGCTGCTTGTGTTGCTATATCATGTTGACATTCCACTGAAGCCAACGGGAATGTCAGGAAGATGTACCTGGTATGTTTCACCAGCAGTTCAGCAATCAGTTAAACTGACTGGACTGGAGCTATTTTCAAGCAATTTTAACAAAAATTCTCATGGCATCTTTTGGATTAGAAGCAAAGCTCTTCTGTTTAATAGTGCTGGATAATATTTTGTTTTAGTTGGCTAGAAGAGCAGCAAATACAGAGCCAATGGCTCACTGGCAGCTTTTAAGAAAGTAAATCTATTCTGCTTCAATTATTATAGTTCTAATAATCCATTGAAATGCAAAAATATTTTTGTTTGGATTTTTTACATATTTTCCTGCAAGATAAGTGATCAGATTTCCAGTTGACTGCTGGTATCAGACTCTACATTTACAGTCAGCCAAGGGATTTCATTCCTTTTTTGCTTTCTACACATGGAAAATTCATTTTATTTTCATAAAAATCTTTCATTGTATACTTTATATATAACTAAAATAACCACAAAATTTGAATTTAGCAGGACAGGCCTTGTTTTTCATATGATGTCCTGGTATCCCAAGTACTACTTTTGGGATGCTTGAAATGTCCTGTTTTTTCATATCACTAAAAGCATTTAGGTTTTTTTAACAACATTTTTCTTCTAGACATTTTGCTGTACCAATATCAAATATCACTGTTTCAATCTTATCATATAGGGTGTGATCCTGTTCCCAAGGAAGTTAATGCCAACATTCCCATTAATTTCAGTGGGGCAAGATCAAATACATAGTACTTGTTCCATCCCTATTTTTGTTCAAGGCCAAAAGCTTGTCATAACTTCTCAGGTGACAATACTGTGGTATGAGGTGGGTTAGATGATGATCCCATCTAATCGAGGAAGAACTTCTGCTCTGGCCTCGCAGAGGTTTCAGAAGAAGTTGTGAATCTGGAGGCCTTTCTGTCCTTAATTTCCCTTTTCTTTGCAGTTGCCAGCACCATAGAGAAGAGGGAAGTGAAGGATAGATGGGCACAGGAGGAAGAAGCAGAGCTCAGACTTTCTTTGATCTATTCCAGGTGGAGCTTTTCTGACCCCAGGCATAGCAGATCAAAGAGAAGAGTCAGAATGCAGATCACTTGAGTATTTCATGATCCTAAAAAATATTGCCACAATAGTTTTCCAGTTTTTTTTATTTTGAAAATATGCTCACTTTACATATAACCTGACATTGGTTATTACTGGAACCAGATGATCAAAAATTATTTATCCCATTATTTTATTCATCCCCTTCAGGAAAGAGTTATCTCTACAATTTCTTACTTGTTGTATATGTACAATTTAAAATAAAGAGAAAAGATAACAACATACGTATTTATATCTTTTCTAATAGAAATCTATTTTAAACACAGTGGATAGTAGAAAATTTTGTCTGCTGAATGGGGAAGTTTATAATTTCCTTCATAATTTAGGCTTTTATTTAAAAGAAAAATAAAAGTTATGTTCATAGCTCTAACGGTGGTGAGGAGAACCTTCTGAAAATGAACTGAATGTAAACTGATGCAGTATTGCCTTCTTGAATCGACAGAACTGAATATTTCAAGAACGGTAGAGCTGTATAAAGTGACTAAAGTTCAAATCCTAGTCCAAGTGCTCAGACTGCTACAAAAAAAAAAATGCTGTGTGCTTCACATATATAGTTAGATAGCTGTCTGTCCCAAAGTGCTTACAGCCTAAGGCCTCGGTCCTGCAAAGATTTATTCATGTGCTTAACGTTATGCACTGTGTAGTCTCATTAATTTCAATGGAATATTTATTGATTTTGTTGGGATTACTCGCATGTGCTTAAATTTGCATATTGTATTAGCATTTGGAGGACAGGTGCATAGGTAGCAATGACTCAAGATTTGTCTCTTAATGAAAAGTCATAAGGGCCACAGGTTTTTCTTTGAGTTTTTCTTCTTCTAATGCAAATTAATGACCGCGCCCTCAATAAAATGGAGATCGTTACCATCCTGCTGGGTCATTGGCTCCTTTCTGACTCAGAAAGAAGAGGTGCCATCTACTGAATCATCAGCATCACTTCCTGAAATAGCTAGGCTTTCCTTGGAGATCTTTCATCCATATACTGGCCAGGCAAGATCCCACTTAAAGTATGAGATCTGACAAAATCATAATTTTGAATGCAATGAAACTTTTAAATGAACTACTCATGAGGAGTTATACTTGTTTAAAATAATGCATTAATACATTTCCTTTGTACTAAATAGGACTAGACTAGACATTTCCTTTGTACTAAATAAGACTAAGTAGACTAGAAGACTGACCTGAAAAGCTCAGTTTGGTACTTTCTTTGTAAAATAAAATGTTATTTAAAATCTGGAATTTTCCTTATCAGAACTCTTAAGTGTTGAGACTGAGTAGAAGAGGAAGTGTTTTTGTGCCACTCATTACCCTCTGTAATTGTTCAGTGAATTTGTTACAGAATCTGAAGCCTCTCACCTCTGGGTTACTGATTTGAATCTGGTTCAGGTTGATGATGACTACAAGTAGTTACCTCTGATGCCATGTATGACATGAACTGGTTGTTTCAACCCAAAGCCCATTACCCTAAAAACAGGTTACAGAAAAATTCTATTAATACTTTTTTTTATTTTTGTGCCATACTACAAACCTATGATCGTGACATTCTGCATAATAGCACTTACTAATAAACTTTGTCATCACAATCTATTTTTTTCTTTAAAAGACCACATTTCTATGAGCGCTGCCTCTAGCACTCACAAATTTTGGACGGTGTGTGTTTTGAAATCCAGATTTGAATTTTGTGTCTCAGGCTCATCTCCATTGTCTATTGGTATCTGTCTTCTATAATGAGAAAAGGGTACCAAAGACACTATAGAGACAGGGCAAATACCTCTATATTTGACTGTGAGTAAATCATAGGCTTTGTGTAACCCCAGCACATGCTTTCTGTTCATAATCCACAAGGGACATATGCAGTTTTACTGCAGTTCAGTGAATCCAAACATTTGACCAGGTAAAATTATTGGAGATGTCAGGGGAAAAGATGTATTTGCTGTTCCTACTTTCACCTCATCCCAGAACATAAAACACTGTAAATAAAAGCTAATCTTGGCAAATCAAGCGGGAAAAGTCAGAATCAAGTTGTCAGAGTAATAAACAGTCCAATACAACTGACAGTTCTCATTGTTAGGAAATAATATACATGTACATCAGCTGTGCAAAAGGATAGTAGGAGACTTTATAGTGCTGACTTTGGAAAAAAGAAGAATTAAAATCTGTGATTCTCTGTACTTTGTACAACTGCATTATGTTAAACTTCAAAAGGATGTCTTTTTGGGGGGGATTTTTCCTATCTATTTTTTCTCATGAAGCTTGGGACAGTTCTAGTCAACGTTTATTACTCCATGATGGACTGTAGGTACAACAGAGAGAGACTATAGCTTCAGAGATACTGATTCTTCTTTGGTGGAAACGACAGTTGTGACTGGAAATGGTTCAAGACTCTTGTATCTGTTTGTATCTTTGTCATTCAAAACATCATACTACAAAATAAACGAAGATTTTTCCAAAGTGGATGTAAATGTCATGACTGTGTTTGGTATCAAGACATATTTATGACAGATCAAACTCTTTTCCTCTGATGTTTTTGGACAGATTTTACAATCAGCAAGTTAAGCTAACAGAAGTTGTGAATTATATCTAACTGGAATGTATAAACAAAAGTTAAGCTTATGCATGCAAGGGAATATTGAAAAGTTTGAATAATGCTGTCAACATATACAGTGCCAATGTTTCCCCCTTCCTTTCCTTTATAATTCACTGGATTTTTTTTTCCTAGATAGATATATGTCCAACCAGGTATGTGTGTGTGGATTTATGCTTCCAAATGAAACAAAGCTGTGCAGTTGTTGTTCCCGAGCTCAACCACTTTGTGAAGCACTTTTTTTCCTGGTCCTCCTAGTGTATCTCCACTTTTCTGCAGCTATGCAGTACATGAAGTGCTTCAAGCCCAGTCTGTGTTTCTGTGTAAGTACCTAGAGAATACCAGTTTAATTTAGAAGCAGCACAGCTCAAGTGTTTCTTGTTGTTTGATATCATCACCTATGAAGTTCAGGTGATTACGTACACAAGGGTATTACAGAAAGAATGCAGTTTAAAAGTTTAGATTAAAGGAATCTCTCATGTTATTGATTATTTCTTGTATTGTAATACACAGAGCCCCCAAGCACAGTGAGGCCCCCTAGCACTAGGAACTGTACACACATGCAGCAAAAGGCAATCTCTTGTAAATGAATTCGGGTTTTTTAACCATTGCAATGACACATGGAAATTTCAGTTTAAGCAGTCAAACTACAATCTATTCAGGATTGAGTTAAAGGCTACTTTGGAAGAAGGTGGGTGAGGGTGACAGAATCTGGCCCTGGTGAATGGCTGCATGCATTCATTTGAGATATGTCTGGTGAACTGAAACAAGGTGGGCAATGTGCAAAAAGGAAATGCTGCTATAGTATTTGGTAGTTAAATGTGAACCATATGCATGTGGGAGGCATTGTGCATATGGCCTGAGCACAGGACTGAGAGTAAGGATTCCTGTGTTCTGAATCTGGATCTTTTACAGACTCTCTCTATGTCGTTGGGCAACTAACTGAAGCTCTTGCTGGGCCTCATTTTCTCTATATTTAAAAATGTTTGTGGCAATACTGTACTTACCTCCCTCCTGGGGGTGCTTTAGGGATCATCAGTTAATGCTCGTACAACACTTTGAAGTTAGATTTTTGACATGTTTAAACAGAATTTAAACTTGATTAGACATTTATATAGATAATAAGAACATCCATGATTACCTCTGATGAGATAAAAATGTCTAAGGGGTATAAATGCTCATGCTTCCTGGCATAACTAACTGCCTGGGATTAGGAATGAACTTCCTCTATGGGCAGGTTATTACATAATTGCTTTTATGTGGTATTTTGCTCCTTCCTTTGAAGCATCTCATACCAGCGATTGTTTGAGCCAGGATACTGGACTAGACAAACTGCTGGTCTGGTTGGGAATGGCAGCTCCCATGTTGTGTTCCTGGGTCACCCTATTTGGTGCAGGGAAGTACATGTTGTACATCTCTGCCTCAATAAGGGCACCTATGGGCTCTGGGAGAGTGGGGGTGATATGTCTACTGTAAGCCTCCTCTAGGGGTTTTGCTGGAGGAAAACAGCTTTACTTTCCATGGGGGCTGCATAAGTGTCTGCTGGCATAAGCTGCAGCAGGGATACCCTGAATCAGCTACTTCCCTCATTCATCCCAGTCCTGTTTATAGACAGGGGGAGGGATAGCTCAGTGGTTTGAGCATTAGCCTGCTAAAGCCAGGGTTGTGAGTTCAATCCTTGAGGGGATCACTTAGGGATCTGGGGCAAAAATCAGTACTTGGTCCTGCTAGTGAAGGCAGGGGCCTGGACTTTATGACCCTTTGGGGTCCATTCCGGTTCTATGAGATAGGTATATCTCCATAATTTTTTTAATTTAGCCAGCCATCCCCTTCTCCTCCCCCGGACTTGTGGGGGAGGGCTGAACCCTGCAATTTCTTGGCAGAAGAGAAATTGTGGGAGCCTTGTATCATTGATTGCAATGTCTCTTTCTGGCCAGATTTGTTACCATCAGGGTCTGTGCTAGTGGCAGGCAGCACAGAGCCTAATGAATCTGGTCTGCAACGATCTCTGTAAAAGTATCGTCACCCAAAATAAAGTCCCGTTTCTAGCAAAAGCAAAAATGAAATCATTAGATCTTGGATTTACTGCTAATTAACAAGAACACTCCTCACAGAAAAAGTACCATTTTTTTCTTTGTCCTTGTAGCTTTTTAAAAATATATATATATAAGAACTTTGTTGAAATAAAGGACTGAGTATTTCTTTTAAGTTTGCTTATCAGACAGCTTGACTGACTTTTTTTTATTAAACCCATATTTTGCATTTCAGTGTCACATTAAATTCTTCATGTTCACTGTTTCTTCCTCTCTTTCTCTTTGTTCCCCACCTTTTTTTTTTGTATATATACACAAAGCAAAATAATCATGCATGAGAAATCCTAAAACTCTTCTGCTTTCCCTAAACAGCACCAGAGATTTACATTTTTATAAAGGGAGGGAGGGATAGGGGGAGAGAACACTAACACAGGACAGCAGTGAAATTACACAGATAAATTTTTGAGTGCTTTTATCTAGTAAACATCCTAATGATCAACTTCAAAGGCTGAAGCAAGAAGTCATTCCCTCTCTTGTGCCAGATTGAGAAAGAGTGGGCTCTTTTACATCTCATATGGGAGATATGAGGAGCCTTTGAA